TTTCTTCTCATCTTCCTTCAATTTCTTTAACTTCAGCTTGTTATGCAACTTAAGCGCTGTATCACACAGTGCACTACTCGCATTCTCGTCACACGTAGCGATATTTACAACATTATAGTATCGCTTCTCCTTGCCACCGATCGCAGTCGCTGCCTGCGACGACTCTTCACTCTGGGAATGCGCACGTCTGAAGATGCGAGAGATACGCAAGCTACGACGCAAATACTCGGACATGCGTGAGTGTACAGCAGTTGTACTAGCTGCGCCAGCCAATGGCGGCAGATGTGATTGGTGCGTGTCAGAGCCGGTGGTATCCTGTTTAGCACAGTGATTTTTCTGCTGGGCGCAACGTAATTCGGTGATAGTTTCCTCGGCTATGTGACCCCATGCGGCGCGCCCGGTATGCGGATGCATTACTCTATTCGTGCGCACTCGACGCACATTGTGGTGCTCATAGTTCTCTACAATGATAATCGGCGTGGCTGTTGGTGGCATGTTGTTGTGTTGGCTGGACGCCGCTTGCGTCGTTGTGCCATTCAAATAAATATGCGACTGCAAGGAATGACAATTTTGGGCGTGTGCAACGCGATGCGTTTTGAGGCTACGCCAGCGGAATAGACGACGTGCGCGACTCAGATAATCCGTAGCATCGTCCGCGCTGTCCGTACAATCGCCATCACAAGGCGAACTCGGTGCTGAGTTCATGCTGCCACAGCGGCCGCCTTCACATTGCAAGTCGCGTACTAAATCTGGTTGTTGACGTACAGCACTGGCGTTGCTGTTGCATCGTCGCCTTTGCTGTGGTTGCGACTGCTGTTGGGGGTGATGATGTAGCAACAAACATGCGCAGGTATGCGTGTGTGTCCTTTGTTGTTGTATGTGATTTTTGTTGGCGTTGTCCTTGCTATTGTTGCGCTCGCTACTTCGCGTATTTTGTGTGCCATTGTGGCCACTGGCGCTGCTGTTACTATTCGTATCGAAATTACTGCTGCTGGCTGTTGTTGTAACAGTTGTGTGGTGTTGATGTGAGTTGTGATAGTGGTGGTGATGGTGGAAATGGTTGTGTTCATGTTCATGTTGGTGTTGGTGTTGATTTTGTGCTAAATGATGTGCGATGGGTACCTTCAAACTACATGTGAGCCAAATGTGCTCTTGCAGGGAAAGCGGACGCATTCGAAGCATGCTCGGAATATTGGCTAATAAGTGTATTTGATCGCACGAAAGGGAAAACATACCTGTACGCTCGTCGTGATACTCATCGTCGTCGGATGACTCAAGGCGATCCTCGACGAGTGATGTTTGCCGTGAGAGACCCTGTTCAGTAACGTTTGTGGGTACAATTTGCAGTTGGATGTTTGATTGTTTTTTTTTTTTT